GCAATAGTAATAAAAACTGCATGGTATTGGCACAAAAACAGAAAGGAGGATCAATGGAACCGCATAGAAGACCCAGAAATAAACCCACACACCTATGAATACTCGATTTTTGACAAAGAAGCCAAAATAATTCAATGGAAAAAAGACAGCATCTTCAACAAATGGTGCTGGTCCAACTGGATGTCCACATGCAGAAAAATGAAAATAGATCTATATTTATCACCCCGCACAAAACTAAAGTCCAAGTGGATCAAAGACCTCAACATAAAAGCAGATACTCTAAATCTGTTAGAAGAAAAAGTGGGGAACAGCCTAGAACTCATTGGCACAGGAGACAACTTCCTGAACAGAACACCAACAGCACAGGCTCTAAGAGCAACAATCAATAAATGGGACCTTATGAAACTGAAAAGCTTCTGTAAAGCAAAGGACACTGTCATCAAAACAAAACGCCTGCCTACAGTTTGGGAAAGAATCTTCACTAACCCTTTATCTGACAGAGGACTAATATCGAGTATATACAAAGAACTAAAGAAGCTGAAAAGCAGCAAACCAAGTAATCCAATTAAAAAAATGGGGAACAGAGCTAAACAGAGAATTCTCGACAGAGGAATATCGAATGGCAGAGAAACACTTAAAGAAATGCTCATCCTCATTAGCCATCAGGGAAATGCAAATCAAAACAACCCTGAGATATCACCTTATACCCATCAGAATGGCCAAGATGAAAAACTCAAGGGACAACACATGCTGGAGAGGTTGTGGAGAAAGGGGCACCCTCCTCCACTGCTGGTGGGAATGGAAACTGATACAACCACTCTGGAAATCTATCTGGCGCTTTCTAAGACAATTAGGAATAGTGCTTCCTCAAGACCCAGCTATACCACTGCTAGGTATATACCCAAAGTTTGCTCAAGTACACAAAAGGGATATTTGCTCAACCATGTTTATAGCAGCATTATTTGTAATAGCCAGAACCTGGAAACAACCCAGATGTCCATCAACGGAGGAATGGGTACAGAAATTGTGGTATTTTTACACAATGGAATACTACTCAGCAATCAAAACGGAGGAAATCATGAAATTTGCAGACAAATGGTGGGATCTAGAAAAGATCATCCTGAGTGAAATATCCCAGAAGGAGAAAGACAAACACGGTATATACTCACTTATATAGACCGATAAGATATGATAAACATAATGAAATCTATACACCTAAAAAAGATAATCAAGAGAGCGGACATGGGGTAAGATTATCAATCCTTGTTTAAAAAGACAGATGGGATGCGCATTGAACATATGACAGGAGTCTACTGAGCGCATTTGAAAGACTCTAACTAGCAGTGTTTTCAAAGCAAAGACTCATGACCAAACCTTTGGCAGAGTACAGGGAATAATAAGAAAGAAAGGGAGTTAGTCTGATGAGGAAAGGATAGGAGCTCCACAAGGACCAAATATATCTGGGCACAGGGTCTTTTCTGAGACTGACATGCAACCAAGGACCATGTATGAATGTAACCTAGAACCTCTGCTCAGATGTAGCCTGCGGTAGCTCAGTAACCAATTGGCTTCCCATAGTGAGGGGAACAAGGACTATTTCTAACAGGAACTGAATGACTGGCTCTTTGGCCTCCCCACCCCCCAAGGGAGGAGCAGTCCTGTTAGGCCACAGAGGAGAGCTTTGCAGCCAGTCCTGAAGATACCTGATAAAACAGGATCAGATGAATGGGGAGGAGGTCCCCCCTATCAGTGGACTTGGCAAGGGGCACGGTAGAGATGAGGGAGGGAGGGAGAGACTGGGAGGGAATAAGGGATCGGGACACGGCTGGGATACAGAGTTAATAAAATGTAACTGATAAGAAAAAATAAAATTAAAAAAAAAAAGAAAGTGCTTCCAGGCTGCATACAGGAGCCACGCAGAGACATGCTAGTCCTGTGCAGTGTCTACATTGATGATTTTATAATTCAGAAAAGAACAAGCCTTGTGCTAAAACAGGTGCTGATTAATCAAAAGCTCCAACTTTCAAAGAGAAATCAGTCAAGCCTTAACTATTGACTACTTTAAAGTTTTCCACTGAAAGTCTGCAATGCCAAATTAATGTCACCAGACTGTCCGCTAAAAGTGAAATGTTTAGCCAACCAGCCCCAACTCGTTAGCTGTATTTTGTGCACAATGTCAAGAAAAAAGTGGCTAATGATTCTCTCTGAAGCAGCTTCATTAGTTTTCTGGCATTGTTTGTAGACGAAAAAAGCCAGGGCACGATTTCGAGACCCTGGGTTATTACTCCTTGATTTAGAAAATAATATTTCAGAATCATTTTAATTCAAAAAGACAAATATAAGGATCTAAGTATAAAGCAGTCAAATTCAAAGGGGTCCTCAAAGAACTTAGTCCCAGCATTAAATCAAAGTAAAGCAAGGATAGTAGAAGAAGCAAAATCAAAGCATCAAGAAAAAAATAAATAAAAGGCTTAACTACTATGCAGATCTTGAACTCTAAAAGAGAAAAAAGGGTATTTAGCATTCTGCCACGTAAACCACTTAACTAGTTTCTCAAGTCTGCCTCCAAATAGAATCACACACCCCTTAGATTTCATCATATCTCAAACACAACCTATCACTGGCCACATCCACAAACTCTTACCATAACATAGTAAAACAAACAAAACCTTCTCTTCTGAAATCCATACATCTCTAAATGAATTCATACTGTAGTAAATTTACCAAAGTACACACTTGGCAATTGTATTTGTAGTATTCAATGGTTCCTGCGCTTCTGGAATGTAAAATAAGGTCAAATACACATGTTTCAAATTACATAATTCATTTTAATGCTCAGGTAGAAGAGAACAGACATAGCCAAACACTGTGACTGCAAACAGCCACAGGGCTCTCTCTACCTTGCCAGCTTGATGCATCGTTCATATTTGAAGACCTGACCTTCTTTTTCCGGCAAGTCATTCTGCATTATCCCCCACCTGGAGCTCAGACCTCAAGCACCGGCGCCCCAAGCCTGTCCCCTCCTTCACAGGCATGCCTCTGGGGCTAGCGTTTGTTGCCAACTGCAGCTCAGACAACTGTTTGGGCGAAGAGAAAGGAAAAGAAGCATTTTTGCAATTGATACCTTTTACTTTCAAGGTATCTGACTTCACGTTATTCTTTTATCTTTAAAGAGAGAACAAGAAACAGAAGTAGAGGAAAAACTAAGCAGAAGCTAAGGAAGAGAAGACGGATGCCAATCCCGGTTAAAGGTTGTGAAGGCAGACAGGCCCAGCGGTGCTTCAGCTTAGCGACCTGGGGCTAGATCTTTCCCTGATCTGTTTGACTTTCTGTTTTTCTCATTTGTCAAGTTGGGCTGATGATACCAGACTAAGTTCCTGCAAATAATATAAAGATAAGCATATGAGGAACTTAGCATCACTGAGGGGCCTTACAAAGAACGGAAGCAGTGGAAGTTTTCAGAAAGAAAGTGTCAAGGATTCAAAGAGAAGCAAGAAATCATTGGGGATTGATGCTTTGGTTGTTTTGTTTTTTCTCTTAAACCAGTCTTGAAATCGCTCCTGATCACCTGTTGCACAATAGCTAATACGTTTCATTTAACAATGAATGTGATCCCCCCCCCCCCACTCCTAACCCTCCTCTTGAGTGTCAAGTTACACACAAGCCAGCTCAGGGCTGAAATCACACAGAGAATGACTTAGGTTGCTAAGCATTTGCCTGCAGTACACAGTGCAGGTGTGCAGTGATTTGGAGTATGGGTTGATGAGGGTGACCTGTCCCAGTGTCGTGGTGGAGAGACAGCAGACACACAAGAGAGGGGAAGGCTTGTCCAGTGCAGGATAAAATGCTCCATTTCTTCCATACAGGAAGAAAATGTTCCATTGCTGAGTTTTGCCTTGAAATATCAGAAAGATGAGAAGGAGAACTGAACTTGAAGGTGAAATGGTGGCATCTGTAATGGTTAGATTTTATGTCAGCTTGTCAGAAACTACAGTCGTTTCGGAAGAGGGGACCACAACTGTGAAAAAGGTTGGCCTGTAGGCAACTCTGTAGTGTGTTTTCCTCACTGGTAATTGATGTGGGAGGGTCCAAGTCACTGTGGGCAGTGCCAGTGCAGCAATGGTGGTCTCAAGACATGTAAGAGAGCAGGCTGATGGAGCCGTGGCAGGCAAGCCAGGAAGCCGCGTCTGCCTCGGCCTCTGCATCAGCTCCTGCCTCCAGGTTCCTGCCCTGAGTTCCTGCCTTGACTTCCCTGGATGGTGGATTTGAGCTATAAGATGCGAATAAATACCTTTCCTCCCTGAGTGATTTTGGTCATGGTCTTTTATCACAGCAATAGAAACTGTGACTAAGACAGCACCCCAGGGTGGGGAGAACATAGCCAAAAAACAGCAAACACACAGAAGCAAAGGAATTAGAGTTGAATCAAGTAAATAAAAAGAGTGTCTGCCTCATCCCCTCCTCCTGCAGATTTCTCATGGAGGAGTGTTTCACGGTCCCGGTATTACTGAGGAGAAAATAAACCACACTTTTCTGTTTCCCCAGTTAGTTTGTCATTACCATCTTCAACAATGGGACTGCGTGGGCCGGGGGTGGGGGTCAGGTGTTACGAAGGTGGGCTGTACTGGGTGCCGTCCAGCTCTGCCACTCCTAGCTGTTTGACCTTAAGCAAGAGAACTAACCTTCCAGGCCTCTCTTCCCTTAAATGCAAATGAGGAGGTGTAAACCCCCTGTAGCACCTGGGAGGGGTCGTCAGACTTTTAATAAATTCCCTAGGTGGGAAGACTTAGAATATGCAGAGTATGTAGGAAGAAATTCCCGTCTACTGCCAGTAATTGTTATAGTTTATGTGTGCTTCAAGTGCAGCACAGCTACGGAATGTGCAGACAACCGCCTTGCACGTGATGCAAGGAGGTACCAAGGTGAAGCCACATGACAATATCTTCCAAAAGTGCCAGCAGCCACGATGAGCCCCCTCCAAAGCAAGACCCGCCGCACACCTGGCTTGGTGAATGGCCTCCATCCACTCCTTCCCGGCCTGCTCCTCCTCACAGCGCAGCTCCAGGGGTTTCTGACCTTCGTGCCCAAAAAGGACAGTGAAGTAATACTGCAAAGAAAAAGAAAACACAAAAGGCTTCTAATTTTACTTTTCAAGAGCAGGATTTCAAGAACAGCATTTGCCTATGAGAAATATAAACTTACAAAACCTGCTAGCATGATATAAATCATATTTCAAAATGTAATGTCATGCCTGATCCAGCCAGAAATGTCTTTGCGTCCTGGTGGTGACACAGAGAGCATTTTAGCACTCATCAGCAGCCCACAGAGCTGCTGTACTGCATAAGTTTATTTAAGAACAAAAAGAACATTGTACTGATCTGCCAATGAAGAATAAAAACTGAAAGCTAACATGCAAACGTTGCCAGAAGTTTTCGTTATGGAGAGGGATAAAGCGGTAGGGAACGGAGTCTACTCCACTGAACCATCAGACACAGCCTAAACCACTCTATATCCAGGCTTCATTCTGGGAAGGCCTGTGACTATAATTGCCTCTAATTGCTGCTATTGCCACTACGGTAGCCTTAGCAGGCATTAGTGGCATAAGCCCTGTGCCACAGACAAATTATATTTAGCATGGGAAGGAAAGATAATTTCCATCCTGGAGGTAAGTCACTCATCAAAATTTCTTTTTGATGAATGTGATCTAATTTCTTGTCTGATAGATGAAAAAAGAAAAAAAAATTATTTTATCAGGATTAAAACTATTTTTCCCATTTGACCTTTATTTATAATCACCCAACATTGAAAACAATATCCTCTTATGAGTAGATAGAAAAATTCTGGTACATCTTCTCAACGGAATACTACTCTAGTAAAAAGAAAGTTATTGCTAAAATCAGCAACTTGAATGCCTCCTACACGTGCTGTGCAACACTAGGAAGTCGGCCTCAAGCAGCTACATCCGGAGAACTAGAGAACCCTAACTCTTCCTGCAGAAGATCTGATTCTCTTCCCAGTGCCTAAGCCAGGCAACTCTAAACTGCCTGGAACTCCAGCCATAACGACTACAACACTCTCTTCTGGCCCCTACAGCACCTACACGTGTGCGCACAGGCACACACTTAAAATAAAATAAATACTTGTTTAAGTTTTATACTCTAAAATTTTCTTTCTGTGATACTATTGAAAGAGCAGCAGAAAACAAACCAGTCGTTTCTGGAGCTCAGGGAAGAAGCATGTGCCTAGAAAGGAACAACACAAGGATTTTTGCAGGGCTTCCTTCTTCACCCCTAAGCCTCTCCAGAACCCCCAGATCTTTGGCCTATGGGTAGAGATCAGTACACCATTAGGAGTAACTTTATTGCTGTGTTCCTTTACCAGAATAACAATATAGGTTTTCCCCTAGACCTATGGCATGTGTGGTCTCAGGTTCTTAGCTACCTTGGTGGTGTCAGGTATAGGTGTCATCATGGAGTTGTCCTTATATCTAACCAGTAAGTGGTTACTCTCATGACATATGTGGCACTGTTATTACGCAAGTATTGCTTGCAGCCAGGTGGTCAATGTAGGTCGAAGGATTTGTAGATGGTGCCATTGAGCGTCATCTTTTCCTCCAGTTGCAGAGTCCCTTCCTGCACCGGGAATGCTAGTCAGTAAGGATAAAGCTTCCAGCAGGGCACCAGCTCGACTTCTCCATGGTGAATGACACAAGTAAATGTACTGCACTGTTTCGTTTTGTGTCAACCTGACACAAGCTAATGCCATCAGAGAGGAGGGAGTCTCAACTGAGAAGACCCTCTGTAAGATCCAAAGCCATAGGCAAACCTGTAGGGCATTTTCTTAGTTAACTATTGATGTGGGAGGACCCTGCCCACTGTGGGTGGAGCCATGCCTAAGCTAGTGGTCTTAGGTGCTATGAGAAAGCAGGCCGAGAAAGCCAGGAGGAGCAAGCCAGTACGCAGCATCCCTCCGTGACATCTGTACCAGCCCCTGCCTCCAAGGTTCCTCCCTTGTGTGAGGTCCTTTCCTGACTTCCTCTGATGATGAACAATGTGAAAGTGTAAGTCAAATATACCCTTCCCTCCCAACATTGCTTTTCGGTCATGGTGTTTCACCACAGCCATAGAAACCCTGACTGATACATGTGTTCAGCAACAAGGCCTTATCATCAGGTTGTGGAGAGCAGCTAATAGCCTTGAAGACTGTATCTTCTAGATCCAACAGAATAGATATATTTAAGAACTTACAAGACTGTGGGAGTATGCATAGGAGCGTCACAGGTTAAAGTGTCTCAGCGTTGTGAAGGGAAAGTAAACACAGTCTCTCCCTAACCAGAAGCCATTTGCAACTGATACTCCTGAGAGAGAGAAAATCAATTTTCTCTAATAGGGTGTCATTGGCTATGTCCGCCACACGGCAGGGCAGGCTTCATGCCCAGGAATAGCTGGCTAACACAGAACAAACTCCACGGCTTTCTTGTTTTGGTTTGGCGTGTTTTGGTTTTGGCTTGTTTTGATTCTTCACTTCAGGGGTTTGCTTGTTTGTCTGAGGCAGAGAATATGAAGTTGGGTTGGTAGAGAGGTGGAGAGGATATAGGAGGGTTAGGAGAGGGGAAGAACATAATCAGTGTCCATTGTATGAAAAGTTTCTGTTTTGTTTTGTTTTTTGTTAAAAATAAAACCGTAGCCCAGAACTGCTGCTCTTAGTGACCAGGTCAAATTTCCCTTCATGCTGCCAGCGCTGCAGACGCCAGCTGTGAGCCCTCCACTGGAGTCTCTCCCTACAGCCTTCTCTGCATTCCCAGCTACTACAGCACAGGAACAATGCGCATCGCTCCAAGGCGACCCACCCTTAGTCTCCGTTCCCGCCTCCAGCCCGGTTCTTAACTCAGTCCACTCTTCAGATGTCCAGGGACCTGTCCCACATAGTTGTCTAATTCTGGCTACCCAGCCTGCGGTGGAGTTTATGAACCTGACACTTTGGTTTTACAAAGCAGAGAGTATTTTGTTATACTTTTTAACCAACAAAGTTTTTGTGATTATCTATATCATCTTAATTTTTATGCCATTTTATACCTCACTGATGTTTCCAGAGCGGCAGACAGAAATTTTACAGGCATGATATCTAGCTTACGAGCTTTCTACACTTATCTAAAGTTAACTACAAAAACAAAAATAGAAAAAAACCTATGCTTCTAACAAGGAACCACAAGAGAGAGGGGACATAGATAAGTGGCCGAAGGGGTGAAAGGCAGGGGAGTGGCCGGGGACCGCCAGTGGGCATAGTGTTTACTTGTGTTATTAGCGGGCTTTCTTTCTAGAGCTTTGAGCTGACTGAACGTGGTATCACAAAGCAGAAGAGGCTCCCATCTTGTACTTATGGGGAATATTCATCACACTGTGTGCTATTATCAGCCTCGTTCACACTAGCATTCACTCTTTGTGCTGCTGAAGCTGGGTTTTGACAAAGGTATCATATTGCCTGTTTACTACTACAGGGTTTTCTTTTGGGTGATGAAAATGGTCTGGTATTATGTAGTGCTGATGGTTTCACAGCCTTGTAAATAAACTCAAAACAACTGAGTTGCACCCCATAAAACAGACAAAGTGTTGGGGTAGAATTTCTATCTCAGTTTTTTGAACGAGAAAAGTTGCAGCAAGAACAAAGGAGGCAGGCACCCAGGAGTAGTTACTTTGGTTTACACTTTAGAGTCACTCTCACCAATTTGCAACAACTTTCCCCAAAATTTTTCAGCTTGAATAAGCTGGTTGGCTTTTTGATCTGTTCTTTTCTGACAATCATTGATGGAGTTGAAGCTGTTAATGATGCAGGGTGGTTCAATATACAGAAATCCATCAATGTGATCCACCATATTAACAAACTGAAAGGAAAAAAACACACGATAATCTCCCTAGAGGCTGTAAAAGCATTTGACAAAATCCAACATCCATTCATGTTTAAAGTATTGGAGAGATCAGGGATACAAGGCACATACCTAAACATAGTAAAGGCGATATACAGCAAGCCTATAGCCAACATCAAACTCAATGGAGAGAAACTTAAAGCAATCCCACTGAAATCAAGGACAAGGCAAGGCTGCCCACTCTCTCCATATCTCTTCAACATAGTGCTGGAAGTCCTTGCTAGAGCAATAAGACAGTTGAAGGAGATCAAGGGGATACAAATCGGAAAGGAAGAAGTCAAAGTCTCACTATTTGCAGATGATATGATAGTATACATGAGCGACCCCAAAAATTCTACCAGAGAACTCCTACCGCTGATAAACATCTTCAGCAAAGTGGCCGGATACAAAATTAACTCAAAAAAATCAGTAGCCCTCTTGTATACAAAAGACAAAATGGCTGAGAAAGAAATTAGGGAAACAATACCCTTCACAATAGCCACAAATGACATAAAGAACCTTGGTGTGACCCTAACCAAGCAAGTCAAAGACTTGTATGAAAAAAATTTCAAGTCTCTGAAGACCTTTGAAGGATAAAAAGTTAACTCAACCTGCCCTCTAAAACTGGTGGTCTTCAAGCCCTTAAACCAACACAGCCTTTCAAACTGTTCTCTTAGCTGCAGGACTTGCTCTGACCTGGATTCCCGTTTGCATCAGCCCTGCTGGCAATGCTGCCTGTAGCAGCAGCTGCTGTGGGTATTTGTCTGCCTCTCTCATCAAGCCTTTTCTATCCTCTTTACCACTGTGGTTTTGGCTACTTGTTTCTCTAATATTTGCATATACATATGAGGATTTTGAGAAGAATACACATACTTGGGATCATTAATTCCAAAGTAGACATCAAACACTCTAATATGGGTATATATAGAAACCAAAGCTAGAATACAGAACATTGTGTTTGCCGAGGACGAGACAAAAAGACCACTGGAGAGATGGCTCATCGGTTAAGACTGCCTACTCCTCTTGCAGAGGACCTGAGTCTATAGTTTGGTTCCTAAGAAGCACATTGGGTAGCTCACAACTGTCCAGAAGCCCATGGGCAGTTGTATTTACATGTGCAGAGAGAGAGATACAGAGACAGAGAAAACTAAAATATGAAAGTAAATATTTAAAAAAAAAACCCTCTGGGCAGACACAACGGAAAG